CCTCAGCCTCCCAGTGTGTTGGGATTACAGGCGTGAGCCACCATGTCTGGCTCCCACCTAAACTTTTAATTGCAGTGAACTAGGAGGATAATATGTAGCCTCCCAAGATTTTTGTCTAAATCACCTTGGGCTGATTCTGTTATAGCGGTAGTTCTGGAACATTCAAAGGTGTCAACTAAAGATCAAAGCTTTTGTGTCTTTGCAATGTCTTTCTAGCTTCACTGACTACATTAGCCACCAAAAATTATTTAAGAACCATCAAAGAAATATATACAGACAAGAAATAGAAAAAAAAAAAAAACAGCTTTTTCCTTCAAGAGAGGGAAATTAAGTAAGAAGCATTGGGTCCTTCTTTTAGTTGAATCCTGTATTACATGATTTTTTTAAAATCCCACCACCTCAATAACTCTATCAGCAGAATTTCACAGATGGAGGAACAGACTCAGAGAAGTGAATGGACTTGTCCAAGGATGATGTGCTAGGAAGTGATAGAGCCAAACATCCAGCCCAGGGCCGTCTGATCTTAAAGTCTGAGCTCTTCCAAATAATACCCACTGGTGTCCACCTTAAAATAGCCCACCTGGCCCCCTCACCAGCAATGTGTGCATTTGGGTAAGCAGGGGCCTGTCGAGCCTGGCTGTTCCTTGAAAATATCGGAGTATGTTGCACTTGGCGCCTGCCTGGACTTACATTCATCTGTGTTGTCTTCCCTGCCGGTAGTGACAGAAAGTCAGGACATGCAGGGCTCTGCTGTAGACATAGAAAAATACAAGCATGCTCTGCGTTCAGGTTTATTTCCCCAGTCTGACCTTTACTCTCAACTCTCCAGGCCTGTATTTCCACACGTCCACTCAACAGCTTGGCTTGAATGGCCACTAGACATCTCCAACCCAATGTGGCCAATCTACAGTCTTGATGCTTCTGCTCCAGACCTTCTCCCTGCCTTTCCTCAGGTCTTCCTTATTCCAGTAAATGGCACTGCCCCTCTTCTATTAATCTAGACAAAAGGTCTAGCAGTAGCTCTTTGAGATTGAGTTCCCTCAGAAACAGACCCTGGGCAAGGCTTTGAGCGTGAGTAGTCTGTCTGGGAGGTGCTCTCAGGAAGTGGTGAGAAGAAGTGAGGAAGTGAGATGGAAAAGAAGTGCAACCCATTAAGGGTGTGTTGTTAAGCAAGTTATCAATATGAACTACTGGAGCTTCATCCTGCTGGGAACTCTAGGAGCCAGTGCAGACCACAAGCCTGTGGGGTGACAGAACCGGGCTGCGTATACACAAGTTCCCATCAGTCATTGGTTGAGGCTGCCCCTGGGAGATCCTCGGGCCTGCTTTGGGTACATGGGCAGAATGGGCTCCAGCAATTAAAAGAAACCCTCAGGTAACAAAACGCGCAGGCCGGCCCTTGGAAGTGGGTCCTCTAACATAGTGAAGAGAGGATCTATAGCTGTGGCATGCCAGTGGCTGCTATAGAATCCCTGATCGCCTCCACCCCCTTTCATACCACACAGCCACTCCACTGGCAAAACCTGTGGGCTCTGCTTGCAAAATAGATTCCAAATCTGACCACTTTTCACCACTAATTGCAGAAGACTGGTCTCCCCATCTTCCTCCCTGTTCCTCTATCACCCTTCTATATTCAGAAGTCAGCTGGATCCTTTTATCCATGATTGTGTTATTATTGCCTGTTCAAAAGCCACCATTGCTTCCCTCTTGGTTGGCACAAACCCACAGTCCTGAGCTTGGCCTGCAGGTCCTGCCGACTCAGCTTCTGCTACACTCTTCTGATATCACCTCCTTCACGCTTTTCCTTGTTGACCTTGCTCCGCCTGCACTGACTAATCCTCAGAACTGCCAAGCACACTCCCACCCTGGGGCCTGTGCCGGAGCTGCTCCGAAACCTGGCCTAAGCCTCCCCCAACACCTCCACTGCCACTTTCTCACTGCAGCTTTCTCACTTCCCCCAAGGGGAAGACCACCGACCACTCCCACTCTCTTGCTGGTGTCATTATTTTTCAGATTTCTAGTTTCCTAGGAAAGCCTCCAGTCACCACCCTTCCTTCTCTACCCTGGGTTTGTTTGTGCGTTTTTTTTGTTTTTTTTTTTGTTTGTTTGTTTGTTTTGTTTGTTTGTTTTTTTTTTTTGAGACGGAGTTTCGCTCTTGTTACCCAGGCTGGAGTGCAAAGGCGCGATCTCAGCTCACCACAACCTCCGCCTCCTGGGCTCAGGCAGTTCTCCTGCCTCAGCCTCCTAAGTAGCTGGGATTACAGGCATGCGCCACCACGCCCAGCTAGTCTTTTTGTATTTTTAGTAGAGACGGGGTTTCACCATGTTGACCAGGATGGTCTCGATCCTTCGACCTCGTGATCCACCCGCCTCGGCCTCCCAAAGTGCTGGGATTACAGGCTTGAGCCGCCATGCCCGGCCTACCCTGGGTCTTTAAAGACACCAAAATAAGACAAGGAGTGAGGACAGGACTGAGCTGCTTGCATCCAGTTTATTCCTCCTAGAATCCATATCAATCAGCCAAGTCACCCCATCTCCCTTGTGGTAGAGTAAGGTAAGGGGACTAGAGACATGGAGATTCTCAGGATGATCCTGTGCATGGAGGGAGGTATCAGGAGTGGTGAAATCCGCAATGCTTCTTACACCTGTTGTTATATTATGATGAATCTATTGCATGGATGCAACCCTCATGTACCTTTTACTGATTCTGTGTGCCCACCCCCAGCCTCTACCACATTTTGCTTCTTCTCCTTCTTTTTCTTCTTCTTCTTCTTTTTATTTTATTTTATTATTATTTTTTTTAAATGGAGTTTCACTCTTTTTGCCCAGGCTGGAGTGCAATGGCATGGTCTCGGCTCACTGCAACCTCCGCCTCCCAGGTTCAAGTGATTCTTCTGCCTCAGCCTCCCAAGTAGCTGGGACTACAGACTTGCACCACCACACTTGGCTGATTTTTGTATTTTTAGTAAAGATGGAGTTTCACTATGTTGACCAGGCTGGTCTTGAACTCCTGACCTCAGGTGATCCACCCGCCTCTGCCTCTCAAAGTGCTAGGATTACAGGCGTGAGCCACCACACCTGGCCCTACGCATTTTCCTTCTAAAAGGTTCACACCTGAGACTTCTTTGAACCTCTGTAGCTGCCTTGTCCCCATGGCTTACAGAGAGGAAGAAAAGTAACCACAATTTACTCCCTGACACCCGTCCAGCCTGTAGCCAATGCATGTGGGAGTATAAAAGCTTGGCACCCCTGCTTCAAAGATAGACAGACCCTGAGATCTAATGTATACCCCAGAGCTCCCTACAGGATCAGGCAGAGGTTGGAACCTCACGTGAAGCGACACCTTTGCTGGCTTCTTCCCCCACTCTTGCCGTTTCCCTATGCCCTTGCAGATGTCTCCTGGGAGCTCTTTCTTAATAAATTACCTGCACTGCAACCCTTGTCTCAGCATCTTCTTCTGGGAACATAAGACCTAAGGCACTCACTGTTTGTTGTTTGTTTATTTCATTTCCCCTACTAGAATATAAGCTCCTAAGGGCAGGAGTTTTTCTGTTTTGTTCAGTTTTGTATTCTTAGCAACAAGAGCAGTGCCTTGTATACAGAAGGAGCTCAATAAATAACGTATTGAGTGGATGTGTGAATTTGTGAATGTATGTCAATTGACAGAAATATATAGGGACCACTCCTAAAGAAGGCTCTCCCTGTTCTGTTTTATGGTCTGCTATGTCCCTCATGCCTGAAATTATTTTCAGCACAAAGTAGATGCTCAATGAATATTTATTGACCAACTCCCATAGCCCCTGTCTGCTCTATTTTAGCAACTGTTTTAGGAAAACAGCTAATACATCTGGCCCCTGCCTAGCTTCTCCCCACCTCCCTCTCAGGCCTCAGCACAGAGCAGGTTCTCAGCCTGAGATGGCTGCATTGCAGTTTCAGGACCTACTGAGTGGAGGGACTGCTAGGGCTTAGAAAACAGGAGCCATAGACCCTATTAAGATGGGGGAGAGAACTCTGGAAGACAGCAACAGCCTAAGCTGGCAGGGAGAAGCATGTGGGCACAGCTGGGTCACTGGGAGCCACTAGGAGAATCTGAGGTCCCCTGGGTGGGGTGCACTGGGGAGGGGTAAACTTCTGGGACAACATTAGATCCAGAGAATGGGGAGCCCCTGGAGGAGGGAAGAACAGAGGGGGAAAGGGGATGCCACTGGTGAGTGTTAGGGCCCGCTGGGCAGGGGAGTATTTGTGGGGGAGTAGTTGAGCGTCCTGGCAAGCAGAAGCTTATGGGGAGTGATGGAGAAAATGGGGAGGGGAAACTTCTAGGGAAATCGTGGGGCTTTGTTGACAGTGGAGGCTTTGGGAAAAGTATTAAGTTTCAAAGGTATTAATGCCTGAAAATGTCAGATAAGGGCAAAGAGGAAATTAAATCAGCTCTGCTCACTCTCTCTCTCTATCTCTCTCTCTCTTTCTGTCTCTCTCTCTCTTCCTCTCTGTCTCTCTCTCTCCCTTTGCCTCTGTCTCTGTCTCTCTTCCTCTCTCTCGTTCTCTCTCTCACCTTTCTCTCATATATTTTTTCTCTTTGGAGTTGACAAATCACTGTCAGTCAGTGATATTCTCCCTTAAGAAATCTATCTGACACTGGGCCGGGCGAGGTGGCTTACGCCTGTAATCCCAGCGCTTTGGGAGGTCGAGGCTGGTGGATCACGAGGTCAGGAGATCGAGACCATCCAGGTCAACATGGTGAAACCCAATCTACTAAAAATACAAAAAATTAGCTGGGCATGGTGGCGCGTGCCTGTAATCCCAGCTACTCAGGAGGCTGAGGCAGGAGAATTGCCTGAACCCAGGAGGCGGAGGTTGCGGTGAGCTGAGATTGCGCCATTGCACTCCAGCCTGAGTAACAAGAGCGAAACTCCATCTCAAAAAAAAAAAAGAAAAGAAAAGAAAAGAAATCTATCTGACACAGAACACAAGGCATGACGTTTGTTCATGGACCAGCCAGATTGAATTAAGGTTTTATTTCAGGTTAGAATTTGCTGCAAGAGATGGGATCCCCCAAAACAGCAGTGGCTTCAGCAAAACAGAGCTTTACTTCTCCCTGGTGTGATCTTAAGGTCTGTGGTCCAGGTTTGGAGTGGCTCTCCTCGGGTGCAGGGACCCTGTGCCTTCTGACTTGCCACTCAGCGTCATTGCTGCATTTCTCAAGATGGCTGCTGGAGCACCAGCCTTTATGGGCAGTACCAGCCTGCAGGAAGGAGGAAAGTGGAAAGAAAGGTGCATCCCCCTAGTAAGGACACTCCCCAGAAGTTGCACACACCACTTCCACATATGCCCATTTAGCAGAATATGGTCAAGTCACGTGATCACATCTAGCTGCCAGAGAAGCTTGGGGCAATGTACTGCTTATTCCGGGCAGGCCAGGATCCACTTAGAAGTTAAGGGTGTTTCTTACGAAGGAAGAACTGAATATGTCCCTTACATATTAAGGGACAACAAGCACACAGACTGAGGAAGCCAACCAGGAATATCAGGAGCCTCAGAGAGTCCCTCGAGAGTTGAGCTCACACAGTGTCTTGGTATTTACCACTACATAACAGCTTACCCTCAAATTTGGCAGCCTGAAACAGCAAACACGTTATCTTGGGCAGTTTTTGAGGTCAGGAGTCTAGATGCAGCATAGCTGGGTGGCGCTGGCTCTCTAACAAGGCTGCATTCAAGCTGTCTGCTGGGGCTGAAGTCATCTGAACCTCAACTGGGGCTAGAAAATCCACTTCCAAACTGACTTCACAGGGTTGTTGCTGGAGGCTTCAGTTCATTGTCTCGTGGGTCTCTCCACTGGGCTCCTCACAACATAGTTTGCTTTCCCCAGAGCAGGAGATCCAAGGGAGAGGAGGAAAGGAGGAGGGGGGCAGAGAGAGAGAGAAAGTGGGGGAAGGAAAGAGAGGGAGAGAGAGGAGAGAGAGAGAGAGAGAGAGAGAGAGAGAGAGAGAGAGAGACCATCCAAGATGGATGCCACAGTCTTTTCTAACCCATTCTCAGAAGAGACGCATCCTCCCACCTGTTTTCTTTTGGGTAACAGAGCCCAATCCTGGTACAATGTGGAAGAGGATGTGAATCCCAGGAGGCAGATGACTGTGGGCATCTTGGAGGCTGACTACCAACCATGGGTAGATAAATGAGTGCTAGGGGTTAGGAGATTGTACATCGGTAGAGAGAGTTCCTTGAGCCAGGAAGACTAGGCACAGGCTCAGGAAGACTGGCTGAGCCTAAAGAGAAGTGAGTCAAGGGTTAAGGAGTATGTCTCAGTCTGTTTGAGCTGCCATAACAAAATGTCGTAGACTGGGTGACTTAAAAATGGCAGAAACTGGTTCCTCACAGTTCTGGAGGCTGGGAATTCCAAGGTCAAGGTGCTGGCAGACTTGGTGTCTCACGAGGGTCCATTCCTCATAGATGGCACCTTCTTGCTGAGTACTCAACATGGTGGAAAGGGTGAGTGAGCTAACTGGGGTCTCTTTTATAAGGGTACTAATTCCATCTATAAGGGCTCTGCCCTTATGACCTGGTTATCTCCCAAAGGCCTCACCTCCTCATGTCATCATACTGGGGATGAGGTTTCAACCTTCGAGTTTTCGGTGAAAGGAGACAAACATTTAGACCTTAGCAAATTACAACAAAATGTTGCTTTCTGATATTCAACTAATTACCCCGAAGGGAAAAACCTTTTTACCAATTCAAGGAGGGAGACAGTTTTACTAGCATGTAATAATCAGCACTGTTACCCACAGCTCAGGCCACCCCAGACACAAAGCTAAGACCACTAAATGGATAGATGTCCTGGCAAAGCGTGGCACAGGGCACAATCAGAGAAGTGAGCACACAAAGAGCTTCGTCAGCTTCTCATAGACCCTGCTTGTCTTTCAAAGCGATGAATACATACAACCTGACCATCCCAGAGCTAGCAAGACCCTTCTGGCCCATTACCTGAAACTGGAGACTCAATACCATGCAGATGGCCTGAGTCCATTACAAAGGCAATTAAATGCCCAACTCCATAGCCAGGTGCCAACATGTAGGCCTTTGTGCATAGATAACTTACTTCTTTCAGGAGGGGAAGAATCTTTAGTCTTATTTTCTCTCAAGCCTAGGATTACCTGGGAAGCCAGCTTCAGTGACCAGTACACAGAGGCTAATTTGTACAACCATTGCCCACAAGTAGGTGGGGGCGATGATGGCTAAAAGAAAACACATTGCTAGAGACAGTCTGCCATTGAATTGGATCTTAATATTCTAGTCCATGAACCAGCGGTTGCACCAGAGCTTGGTTAAAAAAAAAAAAAGGCAGGAAAAACCCACACACATTCTTTCAATTTCTAAAGGGAAATTTGACTCGGGCTGTAGAACAAAGGACGAAGAAATAGAAGTAAAAGAAAATCAAAGAAAAAGTGATTTGGATTCAAGGGGATCAGATGTTTCATTTATTGCAGGTTGGAGACCTTCAATCAGTCAAATGAAAGGAACATTTGTATTAAAATACCAACGAGGCAGAGAGAAAGCCTTGATCGGGTGCAGGAGGGTTAAGTTACAGCAATCGTGCTGAGAGATATGAACCCACCTTCGAGATTATCTGTTCCCCATATTGAAGGTTTTCTGTGTTACAAACCTGAGATGAAAGGTGGTTGTTTTGACGTCTGAGTCTGGAAGCCAGACGCTAAATTAGCAGCATTCCTGACGTGTGCGCTGCAGGAACATGGAGCCCAGGATGGGGTGAAAATGTACCTGCTTTATTAAAAAGAAATAATGTTAATGTAACACTAAGTGCCTAAGTCACCTGTGCAGGCAGGGTGTGGCTGAGGATTATGAAAACACCTTCTGCCAGGCGAGAAGGGGCAGAGAAGGAGCACCACACTGGGAGTCGGAGACCAGAGGTATAGCCCCTCCTCTGACCTTGGGATAGTAGCTCCATGACAGCTGGGACTTGGCTTTTCTGGTTCACAGTGCCAGGCATATAGGAGGTGTTCGATAGATGTCAAACAAATGCATGAATGAATAAATGACTAGGACCTTGGGCCTCTTTGAACCCAAGTCTTACAAAATAAGGAGCTGGGACTAACTGTGGATTTCTCCAGTGGGATGAATACCACTGATGCTTGGGAATAGCACATGGATGGGTTTGGGTGATGAACAAAGACAGGATATTAAACAGTGCTAACTCAGAGAGAGAAAGGTATTGCTTTTGAACTTTTTTTTAAATTATACTTCATTTGACTGATTGAAGGTCTCCAACCTGCAATAAATGAAACATCTGATCCCCTTGAATCCAAGTTCTGGGGTACATGTGCAGGTCATGCAGGATTTACACATGCCATAGTGGTTCGCTGCATCCACCCTCCATTACCTATGTTAGGTATTTCTCCTAATGTTATTCCTTCCCAATCCCCCACCCCCTGCTATCCCTCCCCTAGCCCCCCACCCCCCAACACATCCAGTGTGTGGTGTTCCCCTTCCTGTGTCCATGTGTTCTCATTGTTCAACACCCACTTATGAATGAGAACATGCTGTGTTTGGTTTTCTGTTCTTTTGTCATTTTGCTGAGATTGATGGTTTCCAGATTCATCCATGTCCCCACAAAGGACATGAACTCATCCTTTTTTATGGCTGCATAGTATTCCACTGGTGTATATGTACCACATTTTCTTTATCCAGTCTATCATCGGTGGGCATTTGTGTTGGTTCCAAGTCTTTGCTACCGTGAATAGTGACGCAATGAACATATGTGTGTGTATCTGTATAATAGGATGATTTATAATCCTTTGGGTATATACCCAGTAATGGGATTGCTGGGTCAAATTGTATTTCTATTTCTAGATCCTTGAGGAATCGCCACACTGTCTTCCACAATGGTTGAACTAATTTACACTCCCACCAACAGTGTAAAAGTGTTCCTATTTCTCTACATCCTCTTCAGCATCTGTTGTCTCCAGATTTTTTAATGATCGCCATTCTAACTGATGTTGAGATACCATCTCACACTTTTGAACTCCTTCTAACCTCTGATTCCCTCTAAGAGAAAGTCTCAATCAATTGATAATATCTCTTTAACACCTCTGCAATGTTTTCAACCCTCTCTTCATAATAATAAGAGGGGAAGGCCCAGCCTCACATCCTCAACAGGCAACAGCATCCAACTCCTGATTTCATAACCTGATGTCTTTCCTTTGTACTTACTTTCACAATTGCCTTTGTGTTTAGGACAAGGGACAGTAGTTTTTCCATGGCAGGGCTGATCTTTTTAAGTTTTCTTTGTCAGACAAATGTTTCTAAGTAAACACAAATTGATGTTTCCACCATTAAAGAAATAAGAGCTCAAGTGGGATGCAGAGATGGAAAATACCATGATGATGAGACACAGTTTGGAAAAAAAAGAAAACTGTCCCAGCTGACCTTGAAGGGCCCTTCTGGAAACATTAAGCATCCAAAGTCTAGGACTCCACTCTTCCGGTTTGTGTAGAGCAAACCCAGCAGTCTCTAGCAAAGAGGTAACTGCAGTCCAAACCTTTGGAAGATGAGCTTATTCATTTACCCATTTATTCATTCTTTCAAAGTATTTATCAAGAGCATATTATATGCACACTGCTGTTCCAGGAACTGGGGTAGTAATGAAAGAAAAATAGGGGGAAAAAAATCTCTGCCTTCATGGAGTTTCTGTTTTAATGGTTTGAGGCAGGACAGGGAACAGGGCAGGTAAATGAGGCACTTAGGATGTGCAATATAAGGAGGCACCTGCCTTCAGGGCTGTGGATGACTTTGACTTGACTTGAGGAGAGTTCCCCACCCTGACTATAACCTGGCATGTTGTCATCATTCTGGGGGCCACAAATCCTGTCCCCAGAGTGTCTGGTATAATTGATCTTTGGTGAGTCCCCAGGCTAGTATTTGGGGAGAGCAACACAGATTATTCCCATGCACATCCAGGATTGAAAACCACTGACATGGACCAAGAAACCTTCAAAATATTTGATTTGGCACCTCTTAAAGGCATCAGCCTTCTTAACCACTAAGTCGATCATTGTTTACCAAATAAATTAACTAGTGAATCAGTCTGTATGTTGTCACTCACCATAATGTCCTCTGCCTCTTCACTAGGTGTCAGGTGCTATCATTCACTTTTTTTTTTCTTGAAATGAATTCTCGTTCTGTCACCCAGGCTGGAGATCAGTGGCTCAATCTCAGCTCACTGCAACCTCTGCCTTCCAGCTTCAAGTGATTCTCATGTCTCAGCCTCCCAATAGCTGGGATTGCAAGCATGTGCCACCACGCTGAGATAATTTTTGTATTTTTAGTAGAGATGGGATTTCACCATGTTGACCAGGCTGGTGTCCCAAACTCCTGACCTCAAGTGGTCCACCCACCTCAGCCTTCCGAAGTGTTGGGATTGCAGGCGTGAGCCACCACGCCTGGCCTCGTTCACTCTTTACACTTCTTGTTTCAATCATCACAATCACTTACAAGGATAGGTATTATTATCATCATCACCACCTTTTGCAGATGAGGAAACTGAAGGAAAAAGAGGTTAAGGAGCTTAACCCCAGCCCAACACAGCTAACTTCACCCAAGCTAACTTAGCCAAAGAAAACCCAGAATGGCCATGCTCCTAACCACTGTGGACTACTGCTTCTCTATGGGATGAGTCTCAATGCCTGGGGACTTGGGCACAGGAGTCACAGTAAAGAGGGTGCATGTAAAAAGGAGTGATGTAAGGAGTCCTTTGCACCTTAAAGACGGCACATAGGAATACTTGTCCTTCCACCACCAAAAAAAATGTGTCCCTTCTCATTCTTCTCCAATCATGACGCTCATTCTAGGTTCATTTTGCTTCCACGTCTGTTGAAACCACAGCCATACAACTTTGGTCCTCTGTATAAGGAAAAAATAACAGTGCAAGCATGGTATTATATAATAACACATCCCCTGGTATTGTGAAAGTCTTGGGGCATGGTGGGAAGTGTGGCAAATTGGAAAGAGGAGCCTGTCCAATGTTTCCAGATCTCCTTACTTATCAAAAGAAACAAAAACTTAGATTTAGTTGTGAAATCTTTGAATTTCCATGGAGTTCTAATTTTATAAATAACTGCACAGGCTAAATACATGTTTTGGAAACCCTGAGCATGAAGTCTTCTGGAAATGGCCAAGCTGGAGAAAAGGTTCTAGGAATCTGCTTTAAGATTTGGTGATCTAGGACAAACTCTCGGGTTTCTCTGTGCCATGAATCTAAAGCTGCAAGAAGGATATGAAAAATACTAATTTTTCACTCTTCAACTTTTAGAAACAACTTCTATGTATTAAACACTGTGCCAGATGGGGGATTTAAAGATTAAATCAATATGCTTATCATTGAGTGATGGAGATGCTGGACTGTGAACTCTAGGTCCACAGGGTATGAGCAGCTGTGAAATAAGAAAAGGGAGCACAGGGGGAGGCCGGTTGTTCTGCCTGGAAGAGATGTCGCTTCAACCAGAGCTTGAAGGCTCAGTGTTACTCTCCCAGGCAGCAAAGGCAGAACAAAAGTGACTTTTCCTTGATTCCAAAGTGCTCTGTAGACCAATATGACATGAATCTTTTATGAGTTTGAAAAACATGCATATACTCCCATAAACGGAAGAGTGGGCAAACTCATCCTACAACCCCCAAAGCCATCTTTGTCTCCCATATTAATGACAGGGTGAGCATCCCAAATCCAAACATCCAAAATCAGAAGTTTTTTGAGCACTGACCTGATGCTCAATGGAAATGCTCATCGGAGTATTTCAGATTTTCGGATTCAGAATGCTCAACTGGTAAGCCTAATGCAGATATTCCAAAATCCAAAAAAGACTGAAATTCAAAGCACTTTGGGTCTCAAGCATTTTAGATAAGGGATACTCAACCTGTAATTATTTAGGTGTAAAACCATACTTGTTGGATTTTGGGCTTTTCCCCAGAGCTGTTTTCCCCTCCTCTGTCTTCCTGGAGTCACCAGCATCCAGGAGGCCAGGTTACACATTTTGGTGCTGTCTCTAGCTCTACCCTTTTCCTCTCCCTGCATATGTGACCCAGGGAAGGGTCCCTCTCTTGGCACCGACTTGCTGGCTCCCCCAGCCATGCCTCTGCCAATCAGACTTTGGTCTCCTGCATGGACTCTTGCTGTTGTTCTGTTGTTTTCTCTCAGCTCCTCCTGCCTCTCGTGCCTCTCGTCTCTCCTCCAGCCAATCCACTGCTCTTTCCAAAACTCCGATCTGACCACGTTGCTCTCTGGTTTAAGCCTCCAGTGGCTCCCACTGACATCAGATCCAAGCCAGCAGTGTCGCTTGGCATTCGTACTCTGGGCCCTGCCTACCCTTCTTCACCATGCCTCCTTCTGCCAACGCGCCCCTGAAACCTACACTCATGGGCACACTATATTCCTACTCATCACACACTCCCTTAACAGGCCTAGCATCTTCCTAACTCTGTGGCCTGCTACAGGTTCTTTTCTCATCTTCTTTTCTCATGCAAAGTCATCTTTGCATGACTTTCCTGCCATTTTTAGTCATAGAACCACAGCCATGCCAAGTATTCGCTCCTCCGGAAACCTCCTCTTTCTGTTGTCCCCTGCTGTCCCCCACTGGGGCACAGCAGGCTAGAGATAGGAGAGGAGAAGGAAAATGAGGAAGGTAGGCAGAGTCTTGAAAGTCAGAGAAGGAAAAGCCTTTTGAAAAAGCCACTTTTGCAAAAGCCTCCACCCCAACCCAGCAGAACCCTTTCACCAAGCATGGAGACCCACCCTCAGAAAGAGAAGCAATTTCACATGTTGGAAAAAGGCCGTGGCAGAAGGAAAGGAAAAGCCATCGGTCGACAGTAGGTGCCTCAGAGATCCAGCAGGAAAGCCTGATCAAATGGGAGATTGGGACATTTCTGGGAAGTATATGGGCCCCAGCCCTCCCAGGCTGACACTACCTTCTGAGGAGCAGGACAGCCAGTTCTCCAAAAGCCTCAGGCAGCCGCACATCAGGCCCTTGTTCCTAGACAACAAGAGCAGGAAGGTTGACTGTTCTAGGGCAGAGCAGGCTCATGGGTGTTTCTGCATCATTCACCTGGCAGGACAACATTTCCAACAGGGGCATCTTCTTTTCTGCCTTCAGTAACTATTTTCTGTTAGTGCAAAGTCTCAAACTCAAACACCTGGGCCAGGCAAGTGACAAGAGAGAATAATGTCATCTAGTAGGGACTGGGAGGAGCAAACTATGCCCTTGACAAACAGGCACACCCTCTCCTGGGCTCCAGATGACTGTCAGCAGATCCACTGACTTTTCTAGAAATGTCAGATATTGCAACTTTTACAGGAAGTCCGCTGTTATTAGAACATTTGCTCAATTTTCTTTCTTTTTCTTTTTTTTTTTCTTTTTTCTTTTTTTTTTTTTTTTTTGAGTTTCACTCTTATTGCCCAGACTGGAGTGCAATGGTGCAATCTTGGCTCACTGCAACCTCTGCTTCCCAGGTTCAAGTGATTCTCCTGTCTCAGCCTTTTGAGCAGCTGGGATTACAGGTGTCCACCACCATGTCCAGCTAATTTTTGTATTTTTAGTAGAGACGGGGTTTCATCATGTTGACCAGGCTTGTCTCAAACTCCTGACCTCAGGTGATCTGTCCATCTTGGCCTCCCAAAGTGCTGGGATTACAGGCGTGAGCCACCACGCCTGACCTGTTTGCTCAATTTTTAAAAATATGATACAGTGCAAAAGAAACAAGGCCATTAACTTGGAGCAAATAAATATGGTCCTTAAGTCTGCAGGACTCCATCTCTTAGGCCAATAATGGACAATGTGCCATTTAGTTGGATTTTTCTGACTATGTAGATACTTGACTCTGCGGAAGCTAGGTTTCAGTACACAAGAATTTCCACAAATATTTCTCTGTGCATTGTCTGCTTATTGCCCCTGGCAGTGAAAGCAGTGTCCATATAATTATTGTTGTTTTAATTTCAAGACAAGAAGAGTTCTTAGACATCGGTTAGCCTTATCTCACTGCCACAATTCTGCAATTCCGAAAACTGAGGCCCAGGGAGGGGACACACTTGTTCGGGTACACAGCACAAGTTGAAAATTCCATCAGCACCTCAGGGATATTTACGGATCATGCACACCCACACAAGTCTGGGTTTGTGTTTTCCCCGGTCCAAAAAAAAAAAAAAAAAAGCCCACCAGGTTGCCAGATGTGCCGAGCTCAAGGGAGTCCAAGTAAGTGGTTTGCTAGTGATGAGAAGCAGGCCCCGTCTGGGGTGTAATCTGGCCTTCCCATCAGCCTTGTCTCTCTGCCCATAGGAGAAAAGAGACTGGCATGGAGGAAACTGATGTACAGTCACGTGCCACAGGAATCATGTCCTTTTGCAGACTCAGGCCACCGCCTCTCCCACCCTTCAGCTCATGTGAAGCCTCAGAACCCTGGAGCCCTTGTGTGAGGGAGAAGCATCTACCTTGGCTGAGTCCTGTCCGTTACCCTCTTCCTTCCATTTTTTGTGGTTTCTCCTTTTCCTGAAGCCTCTGTGGAAAGTAGGTGCTTGAAATAAGCATTTCTGCTTTCTGTGTCTTTCTGCTTTCTTGTATTTCTTAACAGAGACTACAGAAGAGAGGGCAGTGCTTACCTCAAAGGTATGAGGTTCTAATGATGGAATTACAGTTTGCTTGGCCATGAGGGACCTCCCAATCAATGTCAGATGATAGCTCTTGAGGGACCCCTTTCTCCAGCTCCTGGGAAGTTTCCCCTGAAGCTCAAGGTGACTCCGTCTCCCTGGGCTCCCCTGCCTCCCTCATCCTATTTATTGTCATATCAGAGCAGACCTTGGCTACAAATTTCCTATTTTCACTTTTAAAACTACATGAATACATATATATGTCTGTGTGTTTGTACGATGGGGGTGAGGGAAAGGGAGAAGAGGGGATGAGAGAGGAGAAAAGGGGAAAGGAGGGGAGGGGAGAGGAGGGGAGCGGAGGGGAGGGGGACAGAGATGAGTGGGAGGAGAGAGGAGGGAAAGGAGAGGAAGAGTGAAGAACTTGCTATGTGTTCAAATCTTCCCAACAATCAACCAACCCGTGAAGCCCGTCTTGTCTGTCCCCATTTTCCAGATGAGGACCCAGAGGCTCCCCTTGTTCTCTCTGCCACTTGCTTTCACTTCCTTCCTCTGTCCATGCCTCCTTTCCTGCCTGACCATCATCTTCATTCCTGAAGTTGGAGTTGGTCCCATGTCCTGGTGGCACATTGTTGGCGCATGGATGTGGACTGCAAGCCTGCAGTGCCTCTCACCACGGGCTGCATGCCGTGGGGTTTGTGCCTGGATGGACATCTGGACTTGAGAGATTTATGGGGACCCACTAACGCTGCCAAAGGCTCTTTTTATGGGCAGTTGCCGCCATGGAACAGAATACTACTGTGGTCAAGCACCCTGGAGACAGAGCAGGGACACCTGGCTGGCTGTGCATCCAATAAATGGGGCAATACTAACTAATTCTAGTACTAGTGCTTACCTCACAGAATTATTACAAGGATGAGCCGAGAAAATGGGGAATTTCCAGAGGTGGAGACACCAAGGGTAGTAATGAAAATCGTTTGAAATAATGCACAGACAAGGCATTAAATAGCACTGACTCAAACAGCAAGTGTATTATGTCCTCTTCAGCTCCCTTTGAATTCTCCTGATTACATCAAGAAAGTCTCCGGTTGATGCTATTGTGTCTTTAACACCTAACACGTACTAATTATTTTTGTTGTTTTGTTCTCTGTGTTTTAACAAAGAGAGTGAAGACTTCGGGCTCAGAGTCTCACTGCAGGCGACAGAATCCAGGTAGAACTTAATACATATTTTCTTTTTTATTGGAATATTTTTTGTGCTTAGTGGTTTTCTATTCACAGAAGTAGTATAAAATTTTCTGTGTAAGTATATGGATTTAAGTTTTAAAAGCAGGTCCGTTTAAAAGGGAAAACAGCATTAAGTAGATAATAGCATCAGTAACATTCAAATATGTCCAAAATTATAAAAGGAGCCCGCAGTGATGAAACTTACAGAATCATTGAGATAACCCACGTCAAGAGTGATTATTATTACTATTCTGGTGTCAACTCAAGAGTTTCCACATCTAAAATGAATGGGACAAACTGTGTAGTCTGGGCCCTTCCAACTCGGAGGATCTGGTAGTCCTTGTTTATTTAGTCTCATTTTCCTCTATCAGGTTCAAAGGCAGATTCTCTAATGAGAAGTGATCTTCACCAAATGCAGTCTTGGGCTACTCCTAAGGAATCCTGTCACTCTGGAAGTTGTTCGATGCAAAATATCTCTGGGGTCAGACAAATCAACTTATGCTTTCTGAGTCTCAGTTCCTTATCTGCAAAATGCTGTGCCTGATAGCACTAACCTCCGGGTTCTGTAGATTTCACAAAATTACGTAATGTTGCACAAAATGTGAAAAAGTGACCATGAGATATACATCAATGTTCAGACAAGGCATTGAGTAATACTGACTCATATAGCAAGTTTCCCTATTGCATCAGTGAGAAAGCCACTGTCTGGTACTAATATTGCCTAAATGCTTTCCTTACACCTGCCAAATAATCCTTTAATTAGGTAGAGGGCAAGGCCTCAAGGCCTTAGGCTCTTGGCAGACAGTAAGACCCAACTGGGATACTAGAGATAGGCCAAGAGGAATATGAATCATGTATCCCCATGTTAGCCCTGGGAACAAGAGCCAAGGGACAGAGGCATTTGAGCTGACCCCTGAAGAGACAGAAAGATTTCTCTAGGCAAAACATACCTAGAAAGATGTCTGGGCATCCGAAAAAAGCAATCCCTTAGAATCAGAAGGCCTTAGCCAGGTTTGTGCTACCAAGCTCTCCAGGGAGGTCTAAGGACATCTCCTCCCTGCCACCGCCACCCACTTATGAAATAATGTGGGTTTTTTAATGTGAGATGAAAATATTTGCACTGTTCTTACTGATTTTTAAAATTGTGATAAAATATACATGGATAAAACATATTATTTTAACCGTTTTTAAGTGTACAGCTCAGTGGCATTAAGTATTCACAGTATTGTACAGCCACCACCGTATCCATCTCCAGAACTTTGTTTATCTTCCCAAACTGGAAGTCTACACCCATTAACAGTATCGGTCACTATTTCTTCCTTTCTCGTTTTGGGGCAACCGTCACTCTACTTCCTATGTGTGGATTTGTCTGCTCTGCATACCCCAAGTGAGTGGAATCATATCGTATCCGTCCTTTTTTATTTATCCTATATATCCTGAGTCAGGCTTACTTCACCTAGCATAAAGTCTTCAAGGCTCATTCCAGAATAATGTTATTGCATGCATAGAACTTAAAAGACGGCACTACAAAGAAAAGTTATATTAAATAATGGTTATCTAAATAATTATTTAAATTGATATAATAATGTATGGGCTCTTATTAACCATGATATAAGAAGATACAAAGGTGGAGCTACTCATCACTCTAATTTCCAGATAGTAATGAGTCTATGTCAAGATCTCCTGTAACAACTGTAATGAGATATGAAAATATCTGTGATAGCTACTGATGACAAAGCCACAAAAGTTCCATGTAGTGTTGATAAAATTTTGGTTTGTTGCCTGCATTTAGAATTGAAGGATATGTTATCTTTCAGTCAGAAGTCAGCAAAAATAAAAAAAAATACAACTTTTTCACATCCAAGCTCAGAGATGCTGATTTTTTTCCCATGGACTCGTTAGAGGGCTTCTGTTCCATGGAACCCAGGTTAATAATGTTCACCCCATGGAAGGAGTATTTTTATTCTTCACCAGTTTATTTAATTCTTGGTTCAGAGGTCTTCAGAGGTGAGGCAAATGTCAGATCCTCACAACTTCTAACTGGCCCCAGAAGCCAACCCATTGGCATAGACAGTGGACTAGGTTTTGGACACCAAACATCTTTCATTAACCCCAGGCACCAGCCCAGGTATTGTGTTTGAAAAGCAGTCTTGACAGGGAGTGATTAAAA